CACCCACACCCACACCCACACCCACACCCACACCCAAATACTCACCAGAGAAATCGACAATGTGATTTTTTTCGATATTTCTCAACTTAATCTGGCAAAATTCATACTTATAGCCATTGATAAAATCAAAAGAAAGTGTTGGTACTATCTGGCATAATTCTTTTGTGGAAAAGGCTTAGAACAATATAGAACATCTTTTAAGGTACACACTATTATGCTGTTTTGAGAACTGCTCGACTTTATTCAGGTACTGATGTTATTCCAAATTTATTTTTGACATCATAAAAATAGTAAAGACATTTTTTTCTAAGTGTCACTCTTTGAACTATCTTGTTTTTTTTATCTTGCTCGTTCTTTCATCGTGTTCTTCTGCGTCACATGACTATGTTCAAATAGGTCTGCACATATATTGTGTATACGACTGATCAAGAAGAAGAAAAAAAATGTGTTGTGAAAGGTTTTAATGATTCTCGCGGTATAATTCAAAAAATCTTTATAAAAAATTTCTCTCAACGGAAGGAATAATCCCACGTATAATACATTTATTTTCAAACAAATTTATGAAGTCTAGCCTAATGCCAAAAATAATGTGCTCATTTTTGGTTCTGAATAATATTTTTCACTAGGCCCACAATTACTGATGTCTTCTTTTAATATGATTATTAAATAGGATCAAAAATAATTTTAGTCGAAACGATCACAATTAGTGTTATTTGTTTTCATCTTTCGATCGTGATTATTATTGTACGATATCAGATTTTAGTGAAACAACATCATGAGCTTGGCTGAAGGCATAACTTTCAACGAAGAATGATGATCGAAATTATAACTTGCACTAGAACAAAAGGAAAGCTTGACTCTTTTATTGAAGTGCAAGTTCATTCTCTGAAACAATTACGCTTTCATTTTATTCCTCTTATTTCATTTGTAAATAAAAATAATTTTCAATTAAGTGAGAATCAATATATATTTGTCTCGATATATTTTCTTACTCATCTAGTGTTTTTTATTAATGTTAGGTGTGTGCTGAAAAGTTGAAGATATATGATTTTATGTTAATAGACAGTGTCTGGCTAGGCGACATGTTGATTAGATGATAACTATTGCTTTATTTGTCATATGTTCTATCCTTCACAGAGACGCACATGTATACATGACATGTAAAGTTTTGTAGACGTTTGAAGAAAACAAGCAATACTAAGAACAAAAAGACCAATGGTTGCTAGTTTTTTGATTAAAAAAAAAGAATACAAAATGACTCTCTTTCAATTAAATGATTCGTAAAAAATTTGTCTTTTTTTTTGAGAAGTTGTAAATTTTCTACCACATTAATATGTGAAAAAGATCCCATGAATATGTGTTCGAGCATCGATAATTATATTAATGCTGTCGACTTAATATGCAACAATAAGAACATCACTACCACAAAAAGTAAAAGTTATCAGTGCAATTACACAGACATCATGAGACTCACGAATAGAAGACTCCAATGAGATCCAAGCAATTCTTTAGATCAAACTAATAACAATTGCTTGTTAGAAAAAAAATAGTGTTCTGAGTATATAAATAATATGACTAAAATAGTTTACGTTTTTTAGCTAATTCACAACAATTGAAAATTATAAGAAATCAATATGCTCGCTGAAAAAACGAATCTAAAATTTAACATACAATTATATTATTGATTTTAGTCATGTTTTTTTTCTCAATAAGACTGTCGTCTTATGTATATGAATGCTGTGGGTTGAACGAGACGCAAGTAGTTATTTTATTTATAAAGTCGCTTGATTAACAACATTAGACATTTTACTCTTCGTTGTTATGCACCTTCGTCAAAATATTCTTTCGTTCTTATGTGTTTCGCGCACTTTTTTCGCTGAAAATCTTTTCGTTTATATGTTTTTGATTGAATGGACCCCAGATCGCCCAGGTTTGTCCAAATTCATCGAACATCTCCTTCTCCTTGAACGTTCAGTATAAAAAACACAAATTTCTAGGAATTGCCTTCTTGTTCAAACATATTACTTCCTTTTTTCTTTGTGAAATAACAGTTCATTGCACAAATCTATCGAAAATACAAATGAATAAAAACAAATTTTTATAAACAACAGAGTTTTTCCTTTTAAATAAATTGTATTGTAATCAGTACAATTACGAATGCAATTTCAAGCATCATCGTTAAGACCGATGAAGCAGATAAACGCATTAAACATTTATAGTAATGATCCAGTTTTGCGTTATTCAGATATCTTTATGCTTAGAGCAGTTGCCGATGTTGATACACTGATTATCACTGCCAGTTTGTCATGTGTTTACCGACTTTACCGTTGCATCCCTAAGTAGAATAGAAAAAAAAGAAAAACAAAACACGAAGTTCAATACAAATGGCACTTCGAAAATGTAACAACGTTCATATTACTGTTCGAGAAATAACAATCTGTTCAGATAGCATAATCTTCGATTTTCTCAACAACTGATTGATTCAGTTCATTTCGTAATAAAAAAATGTTGTCCAAAACAAACTAAACCTCAAAATTTCCCCGAACGTGGTTTGAAAAAGAAAAAGAAAATATTCATAGTACGTGTCTGAATGTCCAAAAATGTTTTACACTACTCCTCCCGTATGGTATGCATTTTGGGATGGCAGACCAATATGTGACATTCTTGCTTTTTGCTAACAAATGACTGGATATGACGCAAAAAAGTGCTTTATAGAAGAAAATTATTTCGATAAAAAATGCCTGAAGGAGACTCGACCTCATTTTTTCGAGAAAATTTCTTCTTCAAAGTCCCTTTGTGTAGGATACTATTCAATGTAGTTTAATGCTCTGATTCCGAATATACTATTTTTGTCGATTAGATATTTTCCCAAAGTGCGAAAAACTAAAAGATACTTTAAAAACAAACACGGATTAGAGATAGTAGATAGAAGAATATTCTGGCAAAATTTGAAAATTTTGGGTATTGGTTTGCTGATTTTACGGGATATGTTGTTCCCATGACACTGTTGAAAAAAAAATAATTTTTTTCTCACAAGTTAAGCATGCAAGTGAAAAAATATTTTCTTACCATTGTATAGAACTTGGCTGGTAGAGTCAGAAAATATACTTGATTTGTCTGCTGAACAGTTTAATTTTATCAGATATCATTTTTCCTAGTGACATCATGATTTTCAGGCTAGTTTTTGAGCAACTGATGTTCTAATTTCTTAGAGGGTTTATATTTCCCTATATTTAAATCTTGAAAAAGTGCTGTTTTCATTTTTAGCCAAATATCCCTGTCGATACGCACTATGCCATTCGCACCGCTCTTGATAGACATTTCAACATGCCATTAGCAAGAGTTCATTATTTAAATAACTATCTAATAACTCACAAATATCTAAAGAATAGCTCCATTAATAAGTAATTGACGAAATGAATGTTGAAGGATATCACGAGAAAACTAAATCGTCTCTCTTCTCGTCCCATAGACCATGACTGACAGAAACAATGAAGTTTCATATTTTAATCTTGTATGGATTACATTGAAAGATTTTAAAAAATATTCTACTCTTTCTAAAAAGATCAAAGTACCAAAGCTTTCGTTCTTTACAAAAGAAAATCAGTTTATAACAAAGCATCACAATAATGCAAAAACATTGCATAAAAAAAGCTATACATCATTGAGGAGCGAAATGATCGATACAAGTTGGAAAGGGTTCAATTTTATTTTGATGTTGAATTTAGTTTATAAAGATATTTACGATTTTTTTATCTATATTTTTCTTTTACATTTCAAATTGCGAATAAAAAAAATCAAGTGCGTAAAAATTCTCTCGATATATTTACTCGTATATGCTTTTTGGTTAGACTTGGCCATCTCTAATATGAATTAGTGTCAGTGCAACTGAAGTCAAGTGATAATGCATTCATAAAATTTTCAAGTGAAAAAAATGACTTGACTTGTCCATCTCTGCAAAAATTAGTACGATCTCCAGTTTCCTTATGAATTTTTTTTGATCGAAGTGTTTCCATTTCAGATAAAACAATACTGTCAAACTGTCAATTGCTTCATTCAAAAGCATTACCGTACAATAAACCATATCAAAAGTTTTTTTCTTTTTTTATGATTCACTTCCTTTCCCGATCTTTTTATGATAAGCACATCTATATATAGTTATTCGAATGACTAATTCAAAAATATTCCTCATGTTTCATGGATTCTTGTAAACAGTTTATTGATGTACAAAGAAACGCAAACCAAGGTGCATTATGCCAAAAAAGAAAAACAACAAATCGTCATTCGAAATTTCAATATCATTATGCAAATCATTTTTTTTTCAGATAATGCTTCTTTTCTTATCAAAAGATAACAATCAAATCAACACAACACCGTATCAAAAATATTTCATCGTCACTGTCGATTTTTACTATTATTTTTTTTTACACAAATGTCATTTTCAAAACTTGAATCACTGCCGAACGAAATGTTAATTGATATTATTGAAAAATATATTAATGGAGTAGATCTGCTAAGAGTTTTTGGTTTTCAACTCAATCAACGTTTCAATGCACTCATTACTCAATGTCAACGATTTCGTTTTGATTTTATTCAATGTCAAAAAGAGAATTTTCATTTTTGCATGGGTCGTCTACCAGCCTATCTTGACAAAATAGAAGAATTATCCATATCAGAACAAGATACACCTCGTCAACTTTATGGTTTTCTTTCTTTCTATCCATCGTTTGAATTATTTAAACAACTTCGAGCAGTTTATTTTCATTTTACTGGTGAAGGTATCGATCGAGAAATTGTTGAAAGAGATCTTAATTCAATATTGCAAACGACTATTGACACCTTATCAATCAAAAATATGAACACAGATAATAGATCATCATTAGGAAATGTTAATGTTAATCTTTTTCGCTTAAAATCATTAAAACGATTTTCTCTTATGAGCAATATTATTTTTATAAATTGGAGTGATTTGGGGAACGTCTTATCAAATATTTAACATTTGACTATTTCTGGTATACATTTTCGATTTCAAGATTTACAATATATTTTCCAATGTTCTCCTCATCTTAAATATCTTAATGTTGAGTTAATCAATAGAATATATTCTTATTATGATGAAACAGAAACGAATCCAAAAAAGAATATAAAACCAATGTCTACACTTCGTACACCAGTCTTATATTTTGCTCACGATAGTTTAATAAAGATGAATATGTTAACAGAATATTTTAATTCAATGCCTATTTTAAATCGTCTTGAAATTAAAGCACATACTGAAATTTTTGATGGAAATGCATGGAAGATCTTCTTGGAAACATCATAGCCATTACTAATTCATTTTACTCTTCGAACAACTACATTCCGCGTAGAAAAAGCTGACGTTTACAACGCGCTCGCTTCATTTCAGAGCTCATATTGGATATCGAAAAAAAATTTCAATATAATGATAACTGAACAAGGAAATATATGACGAAAGAAATTAAAATACAATATTGAAGTCAGTTATAGAATATGATTGAAATGTTTGTTTCAACATTACCATATCATCTACAGTTTGATTTTTATTGATCATCTGATGAACTTGTCAAACATGTTCGACAAAAATATTTATCAATTCTTGAGTATTCTCGTTATTCATTACAGCATTTTCTTGGTGATCTTCATCTTAATCGATCGAATGTTCCATTTTTCGAAACCATGTTTGACTTTATTGCTGTTCTTGCAGAAGTTAATCATTTATATTTAAATGTCATAAGTTTAGAAAAAGTGTCAATCGAACAAAGATATTAAGTAGGCAAATTTCACTTCTCAATTACATTTATTTGTAATTCAACATTAGATGATAATTTATTGTCTTGTTCTCCTTCTCATATTAGCTATATACGTGATATATGGACAAGTTCATCAATAGATATGTTTGTATAACAGAACGAAAGGAAAAAGCGTTCAAAGGAAGAGAGAAATAAAGAGAGCAATAGATCCTATCTATATTTGTTAGAAAATCTTTCTTTTTAAATTTTGCTCCTGATTTGAGCAGATCCTTTCGAGGTAATTAGTACTTCTGCCTCCACCTTTTACGCTCTTTTCAATAATATCACTTTGATTGTCTACATAGCATTGAAATTTTGAAGGTATTGCCATGTAGCTAAATTGAAAAAAATCTTCCGATGATGAATTTTTTTCATTACATCGTCCACCAAAGAAAATAATAAAAAACAAATTTTTTCCCGTACAAACACGATATTAAAACATTTCGTCTCGATATATTTTTTATTCTGTTGCGGAAACTTCTTTATGTTGTGATAGTGTGATAGATATTGTGCCATCATTGATCTTCTAATATCGCTTTTACTTTTATTTTGCTATACATCTATAGATAGTTCTATTTATATGTTCTTCAACAAACAACGATTTTGTGTTTATAAGAAGTCACTTATGATTCTTTCTTCTTGTCATATGTCTGCCAGATACAGTGTCATATATTTCGAACGAAGTATTTCTTCCAAATCTGGAGCATGGACAAAGTTTGATCGCTTTCAAGACAACGGAGAAAAAAAATGTGCTCAAAGAACCCTTTTAAATAAAACTCAATTTGACCGTTTTTTTCTTCAGAATCACTGGAGAAGATGTCTGGATTATTTCAAATTTCTTACAATGCTACTCATGCTAATAACAATCATCGATTGTCTCATTCTTATGTTTTCCCTTATCAAGGATGTTTATAAAATCACAAGTGATAATTATCAGAGAAAAAACACATATATTTTTCTTGCTAGAGAAGCCAATAATGGTTTCTTTTTTTTAACGGTTTAATTTAAATAAATATTTTATCTTCTATAAGCTACACATCCACTTTTCGATGAACATTCTGCTTATAATCTCATTTGAGTATGTTGAGTGAAAGTATATAACAGCGATGGAGTTTGTACATATCGTCAAAAATGCCACTGATGACTAGCTACTCATAATCTTTTCTAACTCCTTCCATAAACTTCTTTCGCATCGACTGGTGATGTTTATTTCTAGATATTAATAAACACTTCCTTCAATTACACGTAAAATTTTACTGTACAATGTCTAGCTCTACTACAACCAACACTGAAAAGGTATTTTTTTTTATTAGTCACAAAAAATGTCTCGTGTCGAAAAGGGCCCTGCAGTTGTTGACAAAATTTTTTTTTCAATAAATAACGCGTATACGTCTCTCTATGATGAACGGCGTCCTACCGTCTCGTTACTCAATAGCATATTTTTTTCTGTATAATGAATGGCGTCTTAGCGTCTCGTTGCTCAATAATATACATATACATATTTCTCTCCATAGTGAACAGCGTCCTGGCGTCCCAGCGTCTTGTTGTTGTCAGGGACGCCAGGACGCTGTTCACTATAGAGAGAAATATGTATATGTATATTATTGAGCA